AAATTAAAAAAAAACAAATATATTAATGTATAATCATTATATTTATTTTTAAAATTAACTAACTTAATATTTTTTAAACTTTATACATTTATATATATTAATTTAATTATACTTTAAAAAAAAAAATATTTAAAAAAATTATAATTGAAATTAATAGCCAATATATTCATCTTAATTAACTTATTTTTATTTATTTTTTAATAATTTACAAATATTAAAAAATAATATATTAAAAAAGTATAAAATTATTATTTATATAAATTAAAAAAATATCTATATATTTTTAAAAAATATGATAAATTATAAAATAGTATATTAATTTTAAATAAAAATGTATATATAATAATTTAATTTATTAAATAAAATATCATGTTTATTAAGTAAATAAAAATAAAAATAATTTTTTTTTATAATAAAAAAATTAAAGTTAAATAAAAAAATAGATTTTATTATATATATTCACTAAATATGTTAAATGAAAAAATAATAAATGCACAATTAAGGAAAATATTCAAAAATGTTAATAATTTTTTTATATTAATAAATAAAAAAAAATAAAAAATTATGAAATAAAATAAAATAAGTAAAATTAAATAAATAAAAAAAAAAGATATTAATTAAATAAAAAAAAAAATATAAATAAAATATAAAAATAAATATATAAATATATATATATATATATATATATATATATATATTATTATTTATATATAATATATCTAAATATTTTTATTTTTATTTAATATATCTCAATTTTTAAATAAATAATTAAAAAAATATATTTCAAAGTATAAATTATAAATAAATTGCTCATTCAATAATATGAATATTATTATATAAAAAAATTATTAAAAATTTACAAATTTACTAATCACAAATTATTTATTTAATTTAAAATTTATTTGTAAAAATCATTTTTGCTATTTATTTTTATAAATAACAATGAATTAAAAGTTAGTTATATTTTTTTTAAAAAAAAATTATAATTCAACGCAAAATCATAATATCGATTTAGTACCATAAAGAGATTATATGAATAATCCTAATTAAAAAATAATGCTTCATTTAATGAATCCATATACCTAAATCTACTTATGTTAGTTCTCATCTAAAACAATACTTGTTACTATTAAACTTCTAAGAACATCATTAAGGCGCAGAACTAATTGGAAACATCTAATAAGATTTTTAATTTTAATAAGTTGGTATATGAACTTAAATAGATAATAAAATATACTAAGGTTTAGGGGTTGAAATAATTAAATTTTTTTATTAGTTATTTAAAAACAATTTTAAAAATGGATATTAATAAAACTTTGAATAATTAATTTAAATAGATCGGTAAATTTATTTATTTTAAAAAAGATTGGAATGCGAAATTCGAAAAAGTTAGAATTTCAACTGAAAATTTCCATTTATATAAATTACAAACTATTTAAGTCGATATAATATATATTTCTTATAAATATAAAGATTTAGTAAATAAATATATCTAATAAAACAATTTCTCTATAAACAAAACTATAATGCGTTAAATATTGTCTTGTTTGTAAAATAAACTTTGAATAAATTCGAAAACATCTTAACTTTTGAATTTAATAAAAGGACATTAAAATTCATATAATTATATGATACCTCCCTCCGCTCTGTTATAGTTCTCAAAATATAAATATATTCAGAAAGCAGTTTTAAAATGAAAGGTTTGCTTTTAGAATTAGGATTAGTTGATTTCTTTATTGATAATGCTAATCTCTATATAATTAGTAAAAATTAAAGTAAAACTTACAGTTTCCAATGTAGTGCATATATCGATTGTTAAAAGTAAATGAAGATAATAAAGAAGATACAGAGACTAAAGAGGTATATGAAGTTTTGGTTTTTGCTTTATGATGCAAATTACTATTAAAATTAATAGCAAAAAAACAAATAATTTTGGATAATTAATGATGTATTAAATTATATATATTTTTATTAGAGAAAAAACAATATTAAATATAATTTTTATTTAAATAATAATTTTTCAATTTAAATAAATAATAATAATTTATATTATAAAAAAAATTATTTAAAAAATAAAAAATATAAAAAAATTAAAAATATTTAGAATTAAAAATTAAATTTTTAATTATCACTTTATAAAAATAAAAAAAAATGTAATAATAAGATATAACTTAGAAGATATCATATAAATATTTATTTCCTCCATATAGTAAAGTAATATAAGATATAAATTAAAGAAATAATACAAACTAAACAAATAATTCATAAATAATTCTGAAGAAAAATTAATAATTATAATATAGTATAAATAAAAATTAATTAATAAATTAACAAAATCAAAAACTATATAAATAAAATATATAATAGCAATAATAAAAATAAATGAATTATGAAATTTAAAAATAATAATATTAAATTTAATAATAATAATAATAATAATAATAATAATAATAATAATAATAATAATAATTATAATAATTATAAAGCAGTTTCTATTCTTAACAAACTAAAAAGCGTATATTTGAACCAATTTTTTAAAATTAATAAAGCGTTTATTAATAATAGTATAATATTAATTTTATTTTTTAAAAAAAAATATTTAAATAGATTTATTACTTAGAGAAGTTGTATTTAAAATTATTAAAAAAGTATTTAAAATGATAGTACTAAATATAAAACGTAAAATTTTTAATAAATATAAAATAAAAATAATACTATTAATAATAATTGTTTTTAAGATAATATTTAAAGATAAAATAATATTAATTATGAATATATTAATAATTAAAATACTAATAAATTTTAAATGTTTTCAAATTTAAAAAATATTTTTAATTTTTAAAGTCCATAAAAAATTATAAAAAGTTAAATAAAATAATCTAGCAAGTCTTAATATAATACAAAAAGTAGAATTTTTACAGGTAAATATTCAAAATAAATTTTTAATAGTAATATAAATAATAAAAATAATGATAATGATAATGACTAATTGTATAATTCATTCGATAGTTTAAAAAATCCTTTTTATGAATAAAGTAATTAAGAAATAATGAATACTCCTTTAAGTTGTCTTTAAGTAATATTAATTATTAATCATTATATATATTTTATTTAATATTTTTTTATAAATATAATTAAATAAAAAAAAATATATAAAAAAATATATAATTATATATATATATATATTTTTATATATATAAATAAATAAATTATATATTATTAAATAATAATTTTTTATTTTAATAGTAAGATTTTTTAGAAAACAATAATTTTTAATAATCACAAACCTAATATATTAAGAATAATAAAATAATTTTCATGATTTGTCTTTTTTTTCTTTTATTTTTTATAATTTTAAAGTTTAAGTTTAGGTGAAAATTAAATTTTAAATTAAAATTGTATATTTTAATTAGATTATTTTTAAATTTGTAAAATTACAATTTATTGCACATTTTATTTATATTAAAATTTTTATATTATTTTTTGTATTTTTAAAAAAATATATAAATATCTTTAAAATAATAAAAAAAAATTATAAAATTTTAGAATTTTTTAAATTAAATATAATTTAAAAAATAAAATAAATAATATATTAACTATATATCTATATTTAGTTTTTATAATTTAATCTAATAAATATTTAAAATTAAATTAATATATTTCTTTTATGTATTTAATATTTTTTAATTTTTTAAAGTTATTTTTATTTTATATAATATTTTATAAAAATATATTAATTCATTAACATAAATATAAAATGTCTGAATTATTTAAAGAAGACAGAAACAAATTCTCATATGCTTTTAAGCAACAAATAATGAAAGCATGGTAGCCTGTTCCAACAATTAATTCGTCGCTTTTACTATTTAGCACATTATGTTTTTAAAAAAAAATTATCACAATAAATAAAACAATTAAATAAATAATTATAAAAAAGCGGTTATATTTTTATCACTAGGTATAGCATTAATAGTACTATCTAATTAAATAGTTGAAGTTTCGGTTAGATATGATTCTTAATGTGGTAGGGTATTTTATGGCAACAATTATTTAGAAATGATTAACTCTCCCAATAACAAATGCACAGTAGAATTTCAAGTCCCTAGCAAGCTAAAAGCACCAGTATATGTATATTATGAGCTTGATAATTTTTATTAAAATCATCGAAAATATGTTAAGTCTAAAAACATTAATTAATTATAAGGAGAAGATGTTTCCGTATCTTAACTAAGTGATTGTGCTCCTATTATATATTACAGTGATTTAAGAAAATATAGGGCGATATAATAAACATCAAATACAGATGGCTTTAAAGATACTGATATAGCAAATCCATGTGGGTTAATTGCGGCTTCTTATTTTAATGATACTTATGTCTTAAAAACGAATAACGGTAGTTAAACTAAAGAAATTTCTAATTAAGATATTGCTTGGCCAAGCGATAAAAAAGAAAATTTAATAAATCAAAAGTTAAATAATGGATAGATGTTGAAGATGGTATATATTAATATATTATTATGATATGATATATGATTTTTTTTTTATAGAAAGATTTATGGTTTGGATGAGAACAGCTGCTTTAGCTAACTTTAGAAAATTATGGGGAATTATAAATGAAGACTTGGATGAAGGAACATACAAATTAGAAATTATGAATTGTAAATAAATATATATAATTAAAATTTATTATATTATGTATATATATAGATTATTCTGTAGATAGTTTTAATGGTAAAAAATATTTTGTTTTATCAACTGCTAATGCTTTTGGAGGAAAAAATGATTTTTTAGGTATAAGTTATATTGTTATGGGAGTTATTACTCTATTGATTTTTTTTTTATTTTTAATAAAAAAATTCTAATTGGATAAAAAATAAAAATAAAAAAATAAGAATATGTGAGAAAAGAATAAAAAAATATATATTATTAAAAAAAAAATATCTAAATATAAATTTTATTAATTATTATTAAATAAAACTAAAAAAAATTATATAAATATATATATATATATATATATATATATATATTTATATATATTTTTTCATTATTCTTTTTAAATTTAACTATTTTATATATCTTTATTTACTTATAATACTTAAGACCAATAATTATTATACTTTTAATTGAATTTTAAATATATCAAATATTTTTTTATTTATATAAATTTTACTTTAAAATATAAGTTTTTTTATAAATCAGAAACTATATTTAAAACATTATAATATCTATATTATTTATCATTTTTAAATTTATCAATCTCTACATATCCAATAATAATAGTGACTAAATCTACAAGTAAACTATAATTGTCTAATTCATGTTATGTCTATATATTAATAATTTTTTTTTTTTAATTAATAAAATTTACCTCTTCAATAGATTTCTCTAGTTTTTGTACTTTATCTTCTTTAGATCCTGTACTAAATAATGATTTAAATGTAGTTTTTCCTGCTTAAAGTTTGGATTATTCAGCTTATTCAGATTTAACTTTAATTTAAGATTTGTTTTTCTTTTCTTCAAGATCTTCTTTTTATTACAAAATTTCCAAAAAAGCTTCTACTTCTTTTAACTCCATTCTTATCATATCTGTTATTATTTCGAATTCATTTTATTTTGATTAATCTTGAATTTCTATTAGATTATTACTAAGTATTTAATTATTATTAAAAATTAAATAATTTTCATTTTTTTAGGCATATTCTAATATGGATTACATCTCATATTCAGGTAATATTTTCGTAGAAACTAAATTAAATTATTAATCGAATTTTTCTTTTGAAAGAGAAAGTTATCTACAAAAACATTTCATTTTCTGTTCATAATATTAAATAAAATTTGAATTAAATATAGTAATATATATATATATATATATATCATTTCTTATTTTTTTTTTAATACTTTTAAATTTGATACAGCGACTTTTAAAAAATTTTTAAATGTTAAAATCTTCATATTTAATTCACCATTAATTTCTTTCTAAAAAAATAAAATATTATATATATATACTTATATTTAAAATTATTATTATTAATTTTAATCTATTTATATTAAAATAATATTGATAATATACTCCTGATAAATAGCTAAATGTAGTTTTATATTTATTTATAATATCATCGTTTGATTATTTTGGCATATTTGTGATTATTTTTTCAAAATCTTAATTGTTATTATTTCTAATAAACTATTTAATTTCTTCACTATACCATAAATAAGGAAGATTTGAAAGCTTAACCATAAAATATTATAAAAATTTTCTTCTATCTTCTAAAAATCTTGTTTCTTTATTTCCAATTACTTTTTTGGAAGGTAAAGGTGGAATAAAACAACCTGGCCATAATGAAACCAATAATTGTCTAAAATGATAAAAATCCGAATATCTTCTATATACTTCGAATTTACCATCTTTATCTTATCCAGTTACACCATAAGTAAAATATTTTAATCCTTCTCTTTAAACTGCTTCTGATATATATACTTATATCTTTTAGTTTAATTAATTTATATAATTATATACTGAGAAAATTACTATTTAATTTAATTACTTATTATTATTAATCGATTAAAAAATTTGACATTTATTTTTTATATTTATTTATTATAAATAATATTTATACTATTTTTTTTAAATATATATATATATATATATTTAATTAATGTAATAAAATGAATAAAGATAAAATAATATATATATAAATATATATTATATATCTATATATAAATATATATCTTAATATTTATATTTAATTATTATTAAATCAATGATATCATTTGTTTATTAATCTAATAATCAAAATAATAATATAAATGAAAATTGTTATTTAATAAAAAAAAAAATATTTGATAAAAAGTAACAAATTTACAAAATTTACAGTCTTATTTTATATATTATAATTGTATTCATTTTTATTTAAGTATTAAATATTTCAATAGTTCATATATTTATATTATAATAACATTTATAATAATAATTATATTAATAGTAATAATGATAATCTAATATATTAGATAAAGCAGTAAATTAAAAACTTTCTTTTCATTTAAGATAAATATTTGATATATTTCTTTAATAATAAGATTTATTTATAAATCAAAATTATTACAATAATATGATAATTTTTCATTTTTAATATTATAAAATAATTAAAGTAATTTTTAGATTTTTTTTATAATATGTTTATTTTAATAGATTGAAAAAAATATATTGAAGTATTTACTTTATGTATAAATAAATTTATATCTTTCTTAAAATATTTATTATTTTTGTAAATTATATGATTTTTTAATTCTTAAATATAATTATTTTACTTAATATTATAATTTTATTTATAATACTCTTAAAAGATAATATATATTTTTTTTTGTTTTAATTTTTTTTTTAATTTTATGCTTATAAGTATAAATTCAAATTTTAAAATTACTTTATTTATTTTTATTACATTTTGAATAAATTTATAAATTCATAACTATTTCCTAATATATAATTTAAAATCTAAATAAAAGTATATTTAAGATTTTAACAAAATTAAAAATAAAAAATTTACATAAATAATATAGATTTAGATAAAGATGAATTAATGTAATATTAAAATTTATTTTTTTAAATTATTTAAATATTATTTTATATTAAATTTCTTCTTTTTATTTTGAAATATTATTATATAAATTTTTTTTAGAAATAAATAAAAATTATTTTTTTTTAAATAAAAATATTATATATTTTATGTATAATGTATATATTTTTAATTAATTATTATATATTATTATTTATTTCATATTGTTTTTTAAATTATTAATTTTTTTCCTTATATATTATATCATTATTTAAAGGTAATTTTTTTTTTAATCATTTTATTATAAATTCAAAAAAATAGAAATTTAATATATATATATATAATTATTTATTTATATATGATATTTTATAATATATAAAAAAATTAGTTATAAGACTAAATTTTTTAAATATATTTAAGTATAAATAAAAAATATATATATATATGTATATATAGAAATAATTTTTTTATAAAGTGATTTATATAAATGATTAAAAATCAAATATTCCATTTTTTTTTTCTCAAAAAAAAAAAATTCCAATTAATAATATAATTGAAAAATCATTATTTAATATTTTATTCCTAATTATTTTTCTAAATTCCTAATTCTTTTTCATATTGTTTCAATTAATTAATAAACCCTTTATTAGGATTAATTATATTTCTCTACCGTTTTACATAACAAAAAGCTTAATCAAAACTCCATCTAAAGTTTTTCATTAAAAAAGCTAGAACTATGGCCACACTTCTAGAAACTCCTTAATAACAATGAATTAACACATTTTCTTTTTTTTCAAATAAAATTTATTTAATAGAAATAGTAGCTTATTTAAAATGCTACTTAATATTATCTCTTTCAGTATCATATATAGAAAACTTAACCTATTATTAGATTTGAGTTCTATTTACTTTAACTTATAAACCTGTTCCTACAGTTAAAATATGTTAAATGTTTAGTTATTAAAGAATTTCTTAATTATTAGCAAACTATAAGTCAGATAAATATAAGCCTCCCCTTTCGGAGTTGGCTTCTAGAATGCAGTGTCCATTAGTCCCGAGCATTTTTAATTTAATTTGTTATTAATTATAAAGTAAAGAATATGATTATATTTTTTTTATTTTTTTATATATATAATTTATATTTATTAATTATATTTTTTTAAGACGTAGTTTTTATTTAAATTAGTTTAATAGAATATTCTATTCGAATTAAAAAATATATATAATATATAATAATGATTTTATTATAATATTAATTTAATAATATATAATTTATTATATTTTTTTTTTATATAGATAAAAAATAATTCTTTATTATTTTTCATAATAATAATATATTATAAAATTATTATTTTTATTATATCTATAAATCATTAATATACATATTTTAAATGTATTTAGTAATACTTAAAATATTAAATTGTTAAAATAAATATAAAAAAATAATATAATTATAGATTAATATAATTTTTGATAATAAAAAATTATTTTATATTCTATATTTAAATTATAAAATTGAAAAAAAAAAAAAAATCTATATACAATAAAATAATAATATATAATAAATATATATATTTAAATACGTGTAAAAAAATGATAAATAGAAAATTATATTAATAATATATATTTATATTTTTAAATTTATACAATTATTATTATATATAAAAAATTATATTTTTAATTAAAAAAAATTAAATAATGAATATATATATAAAAATAAAATTAAAAAAAAGAGATAATTTTTATAAAAAAAAAAAAAAAAAAAATTATATTATATATATATATATATATTTATATATATATTTGTTTATATATCTATTTATTTTTATTTATATTTATTATTAATTAATATTTTATACATTATTTTTATAGTTTTTCTTTTTTATTTTACTTAATTTTTTTCTATTTATATTATTATTTTTTATATATTTTTAAATTTTTTTATTTATGTACTTTAATAAATAAATTGTTTTTATTTAATTATATTAAAAAATTATTATTATTTTTTAATAACTATATATTTAATAAAATAATAAATTTTGTATTTTTTATTTTTGATATTAATTAAATATAAAAATATTCGTTAAAAAAAAATGAACGATATTTAAAAATCAAAATAAATATAAATTATAACTTTATTAAATAATTAAGAAATAATTTAAAAATAAGAATTAGAAAAATATCTAACTCCTCCTTCAAAATAGCAAATATATTAAAATATTGATGAATTTTAACAAATTAGAAAACAAAAAATTATATTGAATAAAGATTATGAATATAAAATAATAACAAGAAAATTAAATTTCATTTAAGACGATTAAAACTTCATACCAATATTAAATATATATAAATAAGAAACTATGATAAATAATAAATTAAAAGATAATATATTAAAAATAAGATGAAAAATTGATAAATAAATAAAATAAAAATAAATTTTTATATTAATATAAAATTTATTTAAATATATGAATATATATATTTTTTATATTTAGTTTTTATTTAATTGTTATTTTATATAAAATATTTTTTTAAAAGAAAATAATATGAACTTATAAAATTAATTTACTTTTTAAAATTCATTAAATTTTATAGAAGAAACTGAAAGCCCTTTCGATTTTTTGGAAGTTTTAATTGATTACGAAGAAAATAAATTTAAAAAAGTTTAAAGAGGCCTAAAAATTAAAATGCATTAACATTATAAATTTCAAAGAATCTATCAATAATAAATGAAAATAAAATATTATAAGAAAATGCATCTCCATATGATTTATAATCAGCAAATAATATATTAAAAGAGCATTTTAAAGTAACAATAATAAATTAATAAAATACTTATATGGTCTAAAAAGTAAATAACACAAAAAAGAACTTAGAATAATAAAATAATATAAGCATAAAATAAAAGAAAAATATGAAAATATTCCAAAAACAGCACCTTAAATAAATACATAAAAAAGAGAATATTTAATAAATAAGTTTATAAATAGAAACACATAAACAAGAAATGAAAAACGATAATAAATATAAAAAAATAAAAAATTTAAAATTAAAGAAAATCCGACATTTATGCCTATTTTTTGCCTTAATTTTAAAAAACATTAGAATTAGTTACTTTATTAAATAATTTAAGTATTTGATAATGTTTTTTATAAATATTAATAATAATTAAGCAAATAAGTCTAAAATAAATGAATATTAGATATTTATAATAATTATATATATAAATATATATAAATATATATAAATATATATAAATATATAAATATATATAAATATATTTATTATATTTAATATATATATTTATAATTATTATATTATTTATTTAATATAAATTATTTTTTATTTTTATATAATTTTATTAAATACTTTTAAATCTTTTTACTTTATATTATAAAAAAATTCTTAATTCTTTTAAATTTAAAATATATATATTTAATTAAACTTTTAAAAATTTATTTAAAAAATGTTTATCTTAAAATATTATATCATCTTTCCCATATATTTTTGAAGTTTTAAAATATTTTTTCATAATTTTAGTTTTAATCTTTATCTTTTAAATAATCATTATCTTAATAACCATTTTATTATTTTTAATATTTTTATTTATTTTAATTATAATCATCATAACTACTATTATTAATATTCATTTCTGGAATTACTTTTTCTTCAATATTTCTTAATTTCTCAAAAGCTTCTTTTTATTATTAATTGAGATTTTTAGGAATATATATCTTTAAATTTACAACATGATCACCTAAAACATTTTAATTAGGTGGCAAATTATTTATTCCCTATATAATAAAATAAATAAAAATAAGTAAAAAAATTTAAGAATAAAATAAATAAAATACATATCCTTTAATTTTTATTTTTTCACCATCTTAAGTTCCTGGTTTAACTTCAATATATTTATCACCATATAATGTTT